GGTTGAAATTGTGCAGAGTTTCCTCTGCAAAAGGAATTGCAACAGAAACGATGCCCAGAACAACAAGCTAACCTTTTTCAACTTGCTTCCTTGAATTGCAGCACTAGAAAAATTCTGCAAAGAATCATATGCTCATAATCTAATATTTAAAGCATTCCATGTGAGTAGTGGGACCAACGTGAACCCTGAGAATATCAAGAGGCTATGCAAATTTACAAATTTCAAGCATACCCATCATATGGAATTGCAATGTTCATGGTCTTTCACAATCTTTATTGCTTATCTTCGCTAATTCTCCAATACTCAGAACAAAAGGAAAAAGTACGCAGATTCAAAAAAAACGAAATTAAAGTAACCCCCTGAACAAAATGAAAGGCAAATAAAGGAACATAGAAATCTTGAGCTTTTGGAATGAAATTGGTACCGAAATCCTTAATAGGATTATTTAGGGAGGGAATCGCATAAGATCTAGGTTGAATCAAAGAAACCCAGGACTTGAGGAAGAAAAAGAAGGGGGACAGTGAGAAGACAACCACTAGATTAAGGAAGTTTACCTATGCCTTAGACTAATTTGGGGATCGTAAAACTCGGTATGAAAAGAGAAACCCCTTGCATAATCAATTGCGAAAGAGAAGCGACCAACCCTCTAAGTAATTAGTCCAGAGTAATCGACATTGAGAGTGTTGATGGCCGATGATGGTTTGATCCCCATTGCGCTCTTGCGGCGTTGCGCAGAGAGGGATGCAGGGAGGGAGAGATGGGAGAGAAGGAGACGCTAGGGCAATTTTTTTGAAATTGTGAATTATTAAAATTATTATTAATTAACTTAATAATGTGAATAGGTGGCTACCAGGTCGATTATCATGGAGCGAGTTGTTTTGTCCTGATTAGACAGGCCACAGATTACATGGCACTCGTTCACCTAAGAATTTCTCATATTCAAGACACAAACTTTTCCCCACAAGTCACTTTCATATAAAACATTAGAGGTATTGATAATTAAATTTTGGAAGCACGATGGTGGGGAAGAGCATGCGTGTAATATAATATTCGAATTTTTCAAAATATTAATTAGAAATAAAATAGTTTGGCCTAACGATGCATCGGCCCATCCTCGCAGCCCGTTAATAAGAACGAATTCCCATCTCTTTTTCCTAATTAACTAATTAAAACAAAGGACCCTGCTGTTATTAATCCCAATATTAGCTGTAATTAGCATTGGGCTGCTCAGTTCTTCTTTTTTTTTTTTTTTTTTTTGGAATGATGCAAGGCAAGTTAACTTGAGTTAGTATTTGGTAGCTGACATATTGGCTAGAGCCCCATCGTCTTGCCGTCGTGAGAGCCTGAGAGGCACTCCCGTGGGGATTCTTTCCAGTAGACCAATTGATCGTCTATTAGCTGGGCCCTTTTTGCCATCAGATCCACACATTGGAGTGCATTCCTTGGTGCATATTTGATGCTAATGTCCCAATCTGAGTAGATTAGCTCTCTGATCTTAGTTATCTCCGTATGCAAGAAGTGATTTGCACCTCCTTCAGTTTCAATCAGCCTAACGGCTTCTATAGAATCAGTGAATACCATGATCCTGTTGAATCCTTGCTGTTTACACATCTGCAGACCTGTTAGTAGGGCCATCAATTCTGCTGCAGTTGGTAGGAGGAATCCCAGTCATTTGGCTGCTCAGTTTGAATTTTGAAAAGTGTCTCTGGACAAGCAAATTCAAGTGCATCACTCAAAGACAAGCCATGACCTGTATATTCTATAATTTCAAAGTAAGCATCCAAAGTTCCCAACAACAAAGAAAGACTTTCGCCTATCCAGGCCCCACCCACTAGTGAAGCATTAGCAACTCTCAGTTTCTTGTTTCAATCAGCCTAACGGCTTCTATAGAATCAGTGAATACCATGATCCTGTTGAATCCTTGCTGTTTACACATCTGCAGACCTGTTAGTAGGGCCATCAATTCTGCTGCAGTTGGTAGGAGGAATCCCAGTCATTTGGCTGCTCAGTTTGAATTTTGAAAAGTGTCTCTGGACAAGCAAATTCAAGTGCATCACTCAAAGACAAGCCATGACCTGTATATTCTATAATTTCAAAGTAAGCATCCAAAGTTCCCAACAACAAAGAAAGACTTTCGCCTATCCAGGCCCCACCCACTAGTGAAGCATTAGCAACTCTCAGTTTCTTGTTCCATCTCCGAATATTTTTTGTTAGCTTTAACATGGCGGAGTTAGTGGCTAGAGTGTTTCCCTTCTCTTTCCTTCAGGTGATATTTGAGAGATTGGCTTCTCGTGAGTTTCTCAACCACTTTCATGGTAGAAAACTCAATGATGGCTTGCCAACAAAATTACGTGTCATCCTTATTTCTGTGGACAAGTCGTTGAAGATGCAGAGGAAAGGCAATACAGAGACCATCATGTGAAGCAGTGGCTTGATGAGCTCAAAGATGAAGTCTTTAAGGCTCAAGACTTACTGGATGACATTGCTACAAAGGCATCACTACAGAAGCTGGATGCTACGTTGCAAACTGTTATTTTTGGCAAGGTACGAGGCTTCTTTACTGCTCTTGCTAGTCGAAATTAGTTTGGCAAAAAGATAAAGTCAGGGATCAAAGAAGTGCTTAACAACCAGGATAATCTTATGAAGCAAAATGAGATATTGGGATTAAGGGAAGGACCATCTGCTGGTGACCAATTGGGAGGGTACAGGAAAGTATACAAAAAATTACCTACAACCCATTTGATGGATGAATCCATTACATATGGTAGATATGCTGATAAAGAGAGGATTATAGAGATTTTACTATCACATAACAAGGGTGGGAATCAGTTGCCTATGGATGTGATTGCCATCACTGGTATGGGTGGGATGGGCAAGACAACTCTTGCATGATTTGTGTATGAAGATGTAAGGATGAGGATCAATTTGAACATAGAGCTTGGGTGTGTGTTTCTGAAGAATTTGATGTTGATCAAGTTACAACAGCAATTCTTCAGTCACTTATAATTGTCCAACTGAACAAGATTTTCACTCAAATCAGTCTAAACTAAAAGAGACATTGATGGGCAAGAAATTCTTTCTCATTCTTGATGATATATGGAATGAAAATTGTCAAATTTGGGAGGTCTTCCAAGCTCCTTTGAAACATGTAGCACCACGAAGTAAGATTCTTATCACAACTCGTAATCAAACGGTAGCAGAAGTCATGTGTTGTACCTCCACACATTCTTTGAAGCCATTACAAGATGGTGACTGTTGGAATTTATTTGCAAACCATGCATTTAACAACCATCTACATGATGCAAATCTAGATCTTGTACAAATTGGTAGAGCAATCGTTAAGTGTGGAGGATTGCCTTTAGCAATAAAAACACTAGGAAATTTGCTACACAAAAAACTCTCCTTTTGTTATTGGGATAAGATTTTGAAAAGTGATATTTGAGAATTATCAAAAAATGATAGCAGTATTATGCCATCTTTAAGATTGAGCTACCATTATCTACCTTCAAATCTAAAGCTTGTTTTGCATATTGCTCCATCTTTCCTAAAGGTTATGATATAGACAAACATGTGTTAATCCAATTGTGGATGGCAAATGGTTTAATATATACAGCTTGGAAAAGTATGAGCCTTGAAGATGTGGGTAATGAAATTTTCAATGATTTGGAGCCTAGGTCTTTTATTGAGCCATCGGAAAAAGGTTATGATTACTTCATCATGCATGATCTTCTGAACGATTTGGTAAAATCAGTGGGAGAAGAGTTTTCTGTGCAATAGGAGGTGGATCAGGCATAAGATATGTCAACCAAGGCTCGCTACTTTTCATGTATAAGAAATAAAAGTGAAAATCTTCAGATTTGTGACAATGTTTTCAACTGCCACCGATTGCGTAGTTTCCTCCACATGGACGTATTAGCATTGGTGATGATATAATGTGCAGATTTGCTCATCTCAAGTGCATTCGAGAATTATCTTTGCAGGGATATGAAAATTTGAAGAACTTGACAGATGGCATTAGCAATTTAAAGCACTTGCATTATTTGGATCTTTCTTGGACTTCAGTCAAGAAATTGCCAAATTCAATGTGCAAGTTGATTAATTTACAAATGTTGAATTTAAGAGGTTGCTATCAGTTGACTAAGTTGCCACCAAATTTCTACAAACTCATCAACTTGTGTCCTCCTGACTTGCAAAACTGTGGCATACAGAAGATGCCCAAATATATGGGAAAGTTAAATTAGCTCCGAAGAATGAATTATTTTGTTGTGGCAAAGAAAGGAGGATCAAATATAAAAGAATTAGGAGCCTTAAACCACTTAGTATGTTCCCTAACCATCTCAAATATAGAGCACATGAATGATCCTACAGATATGAAAGAGGCCAATTTGAAAGAAAAGAAATTGGAGACACTAAAGTTGCTATATTGGGGGTATAATTACAGTTGCGAGGAGGCAGAACACCAAGAGCATGCATTGGAAGCACTTGAGCCAAATCACAGTATAAGAGAGCTCATTGGTGATAGATACAGAGCTACCAAATTTCCAAAGTGGCTTGGTGATTCACACTTTTTACCTCATTTAGCGTGTCTTTATTTTTTGCGTGATTTTACCAACAATAATGTGAGCTTACCACCACTTGGGCAACTACCTTCCCTCCAGAAACCTGAGATTCATGGATTTGTTGGCATAAAGGTGATAGGTGAAGAGTTCTATGGTAATGGCACCTTAATTGCTCCATTTCCTTGCCTTTCATATTTAAGGTTTGCTCATATGAGAGAATGGGAAGAATGGGATATTTTTTACAAAGGTAAAAGTTTCCCATGCCTTGAAGAACTTGATATACTTGATTGTCCTAGACTGACAAAGTCTCTGCCTCAACAACTTCCTTCTTTGAAAACACTACACATTTGGAGATGTGTTAACTTGAAGGCTACACTTCCCAAGTCCTCTTCCATGTAGAAGCTACGTTTACATGATTCTAAGAAGATATCAGTAAAAGACATGCCCACATGGAGCTCCTCAGGTGTGCCTTCTCTTCATGAGCTGTATTTAGATGATTGTCCAGAAATGGAATTTCTTCCCCAAGGAAGTATGCCTTCCAGCCTACAGCGTCTTTCAATCATTGGGTGCTCCAAACTCATTGAGTCTTGCAGGGATTGGGATTTGCATGAGTTGTTATCTTTGAAAGAATTTAAAACTGGTGGTAAATTGGAAGGTCACATAGAGTCGTTCCCTAAAAAAGAGGGATTGTTGCTGCCCAATCTCCAATCTCTTTCATTCTTGTGTTGTACCAATTTGAAAAGAATAAACCATAGGGGCATTCTTAACCTCCATTCTCTTACTTCTTCATCATGTTTTTTCGCTTGCCCCAGCATGAGTTTTGAAGGCATGCCAGAAGATGGTTTACCTCCGTCCCTTTCTCACTTAACTATTGGTTGTGGTTGTCGGTTGCTTGAGGAGAGGTGTGAAAAGGAGGAAAGACCTGATTGGCCTAAAATTGCTCATATCCCTCATGTTCACGTATACATGGACGAATGACAAGATGGGGACACAAGACTCTCTAGAAGGTACTTCCTGTATACTTTGCTTCCACTTGTTCATAAAAGCTGCTAAGCTTAAGTTACATATTAGTTAAGCCCGTAACGATTTGGAGTTATCAGTTATATAAGAAAATTCACAGCCCCTATTCTCTTGGCCAATACATACACACATGCACCCCAGATCATTTGCTCCATATATATCAATATTCATGCTATCTCATTCTGTCTTGTATGTCCCTCATTTAGAAGACACCCAAAAATACCATGGATTCTTTCCGACGATATTAATTTTTGCTTAATACGTACATAAAAGGTTAATCGATTAAGAATTGGAATGGCCCCAATACTTGCTTAAAGCGTTGCGTTCATGGGGTGTTAAAAATTGAGTCGCTTTACACAATACACAGAGCTCATGAATAGTACGATTTATTAAAGTAATTTTCAGAGAGAATTAAAGAAAAAAAAATCCCCAGCAAAATTTTATTGGTGAGAATGATCTAATATGGTACTTTATGCATACAGAATTTGAAGAATATCAATATTTTTTGTGTCTAAAAAATTTATCAGGTCATTCTTATATTCTCACTAACAAAATTCTCAGTGTGAGACTTTTCGTCGATTTTTCCAAAATTTTATATTCATCAGGACCCCTTTGAGTTCATATGCATTGTCAACTTTGATCTTTATGGTATTATCATTCATCTAGTATTGACTTAAATTGTCATCAAATTAACCAAAACCAAATTAAAGCCAGAAATTGAAAACTTTATATTTTAACACACCGTTTTTATTTATTCATACATGTATTGTGTTTGTGTAGGCTTTGTCCCAAAAATAAGAGGGTAACTACTTGAAGAGGATACCATATATAATTATTTTTTATTCATATTAAGTTCAATAATAATTAGTTAACATGTAAAATCAATGAGTATGTGTACTCGGGCTAATCCAAATATAAATGGGCTTAACCCTTTTTTGGCCCACCTATTTACATGAATGTCCTAGTTATAAGTCTAGTTTTTCCTAAGCTTAGTCCTAAAATTTTTTGACTTAAATAGGGTACGTGGATTAATTTTTTGGAAGTAATTTTATAATACACAAGGTAAATATGTGAAATAAGTTTTATTTCGTTTTATATGAAAATATTTTTTTAAGTGTTATGGAATTTTCCAAAACTATATAGATTAGCCCAAATTATCGGCTCTAATTTCGAGGATACATAAATAACAACCAAACATATCCTAAAGACATTAATATTTATTGCCATAATAAGTAAGTATTTAATTTATCAGATACTATTCAAAATATGAACCCATTTAATTTATCTTCTTTGCCTGTTTCTTCCCTGAGATTTCATGTTCGGATGTTTGCATTTCATCTCTAAGTCATGGGAACTTTTAGCCATCTTATGCCTTTAGGATTGAAAAGAATAACACACACACACATATATATACACTTTTCTGATCCTATTTATAAGTCATTTTCAGTATATTTCACACAAACCAAGAAAATTCTTAAAATTCATTAACTTTCATTTAAAATTCAACAACTTTCTAATTTTATCCCTATTTAATATACATTATGCTTTATGTAAATAAAGTCAACACAATAATAAATGAAGGGTCAAATTATACATCCATATAAAAAATTACTTTCAATACCCTATAAATAGGATTAAAAAATATTTTCTCTCTTCCCTATAAATAGGATCAGAGAAATATATTTTATTTCTGATGGTTAGAATGGAAGTTGAAACTTGTAATTAAGTTATTATATCCTATATTGCTTGTAAGAACTTGGTAAATTTGGATTCTTTGATATTAAACTTATAAGTTGAATCCTTTGTGCACTTCTTGAACATTGTCTTCACATTATTTTACTTTCTCCTTGCCCTGATTTGGAAGATATGGAGTGTTTCCCTGAAGTGGTTCAGAATCTCTCCTCTTTTCTCCTCTTCTTTTTTTAATTGTTAGATTAACATATTTTAATGGTTTAAATTTTAATTTTTTATAAACTATTTACAGAAAAATTTTAAAGACATGCACTTGCAAATCATTAGAATTAAATTTTAATATAGTTTGTAATTTATTATATATTTATTTTAATATTTTAATAATAGTTTTAAAATGATTTAAATTTGAACCGTTAAAATATTCATTTAATGATTAAAAAAAGAAGAGGATGGAAAGCAAAGAGGAGAGGTTCTCAACCGTCCCTAAAGAGGGATCGTTGCCGCCCAATCTCCAATCTCTTTCATTCTGGGATGGGAAAATTTTGAAGAGAATAAACCATAGACTCTTTAAAGGGTGCTTCCTCTATACTTTGCTCCCACGTATCCCTAAGAGATGCCCTATTCTCTTAATTAAGTTACATTTTAAATCTGTAATGCTTTAGAGCTATTAGTTATGAATCACACACTATTAGAAAAAAGACTTTTAACGTCACCAAATAACGGCAGTTAACCAGAAAATTGACGTGGAAAAAAGGCGGTTATTCCCGCTGAAAATATTTTCACGGCGGTTAAAAATATTTTCCACGGCGGTTTTCTTGAAAGTTTTAAAATAACCCTACATAGTGTGTTCGTTTTCTCTCATTTTTACTTTTGTTTCAATGTGCCATGGTCCCCCTCTATCCTACCACCGAAAAACTTCTATTACCGGCCATTCCCCCTGACTCCCCCACCGTTTAAACTCCTCCATTTAGCTAGTGGTGTCTTGCCACCATCTGCCGCCGTTTGAACGCCCCTCTTTTCGCATTTAAATCATCTCTACTCTGTGAGTATCCTCTTCTTTCATTCTTTTCAATTTTTCTTGGTTTCTTGAATGTTTTGACCATAAAAATCTGTTGTGTTTCAAATGGGTTTGTTAGTTTTACATTGTCGCTAGCTTGTATTGTTGATGTTGCATTTTTTATGTGCTTGAATCGTTGATTGGTGGACATTTGGTGTGAGAAAACCTCAATTTCTTCCTATATACTGTATTAGAAATATGTCTAAATGTTTGAAGTTGATTAGTTTTGAAGTTTTTGAATTTTTGGTATTTTTTTTGTAATAAATTTGAGAATTTAGTAATAAATAATTTGTTTGGTATTTTGTGATTTTTTTTTCTTTATGAACTTTGATTGATGGTAAAGTGTTGTTTAAAATTTCATTGCAAATTGATATCATTTGTGTTTCTGTTTTGGATTCAGAAGTTTTAGTTTTAAGAATCTTTATTCATTGAATTGGTTTGAAATTAAATTTTTATTTTTGTTTTATTTGTTATATTTCTTCAAATTTATCATGTTGAAATAATTTTTTTGTTAATTAAAATAATTTTTGTTTAACTATTTTACAAAACTTATATATATTTGTTTGATTTTTTATTTTATTAACATTTTGTTCATTCACTATATATACTAATTTTTAAGAAATTACTTAATCTAATTTTTAAAAATAATTATAGATTTTATTTTTTTATTATAATATATTTAATAAGATAAATACGGGTTGAGAAAATTTTAATTTTGATTAAAAATTTTGAGTTTTTTTGTGTCTAATTTGGTGTTTAATTTGTACATAGTTGTTAAGGGGAAATTTTATCAAATTTTTTATTTTTAAAAAAGAGACATTCCCTTTAATTTTTAATTAAGTGTAAGTCAATTTTAATTTATTTAATGATTTTATTATTTCAATATTTGAATTAAGGAATTAGAATTGAACTTGACAACTATGTTCATTAACTATGTAGAACAGTGGATCGTAGTTAGATGAAAGTTAAGAGAATTAGCAAGAAATATGAGGATGGGGTTGAAAGGTTTTTTGAGTTTGCTCAGAGAAATGCCTTTAGTAAAATAGATGGATTGTACTATCATCCTTATATCAAATGTTTAAACAACATTCGACGGAGTATTTCTACTACAAAAGAGCATTTTATCTATGATGGGATAAATTTGAAATATACAAATTAGATATGGCATGGAGAAATTAGAGAGACTACACTATCTGCAAAGAAGAAGATTGTGAATAAAGACTTTGGTGATAGAATTTCGGATATGTTTCGTGATATAAGGTCTAAATCCTCTACACAGTTCTCTCCCACTTTTGAAACTTTGTGTAGTGATGCAGAGACACTTTTATACCCAAGGTGTAAAGATGATTACACAAGGTTAATAACCGTGTTGAAACTGATGAATTTGAAGGCAAGGAATGGTTGGACCGATGCTAGTTTCATAGAATTACTTGAATTGCTGAGTGATATTCTTCCAAAAGGGAATTCACTTCCGAAACAAATGTATGAGGCAAAGAAAATTTTGTGTCTGATGAGTTTGGAATATGAGAATATACATGCATATTCTAATGACTGCATATTATTCAAAAATGATTATGAAGGGTTGAATAAGTGCCTTAAATGTGGGACTTAAAGATACAAAGTTAAGAAAGATGATGATGATTATAATGAGATGACCAAAAGTTCTTCTTTGAAGGTTCTGTAGTATCTTCCAATAATATCACGATTTAAGCATTTATTTGCTAATGCCACAGATGCAAAGAACTTGAGATGGCATTTCGATGACAAAATATGTGATGAAAAGTTTCGTCACCTAGCAGATTCTCCTCAATGGAAAACAATAGATCAAAAATTTTCTCAATTTGGTGGCGAGCCAAGAAACCTTCGGCTAGGCCTTTGTATAGATGGAATTAACCCATATGGTAATCTTAGTAGCACAGACAGTGCTTGGCCAATGCTCCTCGTAATTTACAACTTGCCTCCTTGGTTAGGTATGAAAAGAAAGTATATCATGCTATCTTTGATGATCTCAGGGCCAAAACAACTAGGAAACGATATCGATGTGTATTTGGCACTTTTGATTGAGGATCTAAAGAAATTATGGGAGAAAGGTTTTGATGTATTTGATGCATATAAACAAGAAACATTCAATTTACGTGCCATGATTTTCACCACGATAAATGACTTTCCGGCATATGGAAATTTGTCAAGATACAGTATTAAGGGACAT